CAAGTGCAGCCTCTGCTGCCAGACGAGCAAGGACCTCGGGGGCACTCGGGGGGCCCCTCCAGGTTCAGGGTGCATGCTGTGCCACAATCATTGCGCACATGTAGGGGGGTTTAACTGTTTGGTTCTCGTTTGCAATACTTGGTTTGCGTGCCCTTGCATGCGACGCGGTGCGGCCCGATGTGGTATTAACCCCCAAGGCCCTAAGGCCCCGCATGTGCCTCCGACGCCCCGAGTCGCAAGTTGTCTGGCGTTGTGGCCTGGAGCGGGTGGGTTGGCTCGGTGACTGCTGTGATGGTGGTATTTCGGGCGGCTGGTGTCACGTGCGAGGTAGTCGGATGAGAACGTAAAAGGTCGCACACATTAGTTGACATTACTCAATGCGTAATGGACAGTCTGTCGCAAGCAGCAGGGACCGTGCAGCAGGTATTATAGCATAGGCAGGGTGTAATGCATAGCATGTCAGGTGAAAATGCAATGGGTAGTCGGTGGCATGTCGTGAGTAATATATATATGTATATATGCTGTACTTGGTAGTACACGTATGTAGCATTTCGGGGTAATGTGTATTATGTAGTAGCTGACGAGTAAGACATAACGCATATACATGTATGATATGCACTCATACTCATCTCATGTAGTGTGCACCGCCGATTAGGTACAATATAGTCTGTATGTGGTGGTGCCAGGAAGCGGGTGGCATATACCATATGTATGCATGTATATATACATGTGTGGTGTAAGAAGTAGTAACCGATGGTTAGTGGGCTGTGAACAACAAGTAGCCAATATCGTATAGTCGGCCGTGGGTTGTCGGTATTATCATGCATAATGGTGTGCTTCCAGAGCTAGCATGTGACCAGGTTGCCGTTTGGATCAGTTCCATATTCAAAAATATAGTATGTAGAAGGTCGCGTGCAACATGTAGTACGTCTTAGCTGGCGACTGTTAGCGAACCGAGGCTATGCTTTAATATGTAGCATGGTATAGGGAGCTAGTTGTAGATAGTGTGTGTAATGCCATAGGTAATAAGGGGGCCAGTGGCAGGTAGAAATTCGACGGGCGTTGGCCTAGACTGCATGCAGTAGGTAGGATGTAGCTGGTGTGACGCTGTGGGTCGCATGCATCAAGTAGCATGTACCATATAGCAATGCGTATGTAACGTGTGCTATACCTTATGGTGTATGTAGTACATGGTAGAACGGCTGATAACACACCGCACGAGCTGGAGACAGGAGCTCATAAGTGTTTAGGTTGCTCTGTTCGATCTCTTACTCTTATTCCAGCGTCTACTGCCTGTGGGTCTACTTTGACTTGAGTCGGGTAGCCTAGTGTGTTTAGGTTTCACTCTTCGGCCGTTCAGGGCACCTGGTCCGATGTGTGGGTGTGTGTGAAGGTCGCATGTCGTGTGTGGGTCGTGGCAGGTCGTGGGTAGTAGGTAGCCTGTACTCTGTAGCAGATCTTACGGATCACGTGACAGGCTGTAGGGGGTATGCAACTATGCAATTGATCGCATATAGTGGGGCACATCCAGTGCGCGGTGTCTGGCAGCTAGCAGTTAGGGCGTAATCGGTCGTGTGTGGTGTTAGCGGCTTGTATGCAACGTGAGGTGAATGGCAAGCGGCGTGGGTGGGATTGGTGGTAGGTCTGGTAGTAGCAGCATCAGTAGCAGTGGCACTACCAATAGCAATGCGAAGTATCGAAGGATTGGCCAATCCCCCTTCTCCCACCATTCACCCTCCGCATCAGGGCACCGTGGCCATATTGGATCAAGTGCGCGTCGGCGGCGGGCCCCCACTGTCCTCGGGGCTGGGCGCTGGGCCGTTGGTGATGCAGCCGCATCCGCCGCAGCGACCGCCGCCCGACCACCTTTTGAAACGGGCGCGCGGCGCCCAAGATCAGGAGGCGCAGGCCCAGCAGCCGCGCCTCGAGCCCGACGGTGGGTCGCCTCGCGCGTCGGGCGAGGCGGCGGCGGTGGCGGCGAAGAAGAGGCCGCGCAACCGAGCGCTGAGTTCGACCGCGCAGCCCAATGCTGCGCCTGGCAGCGACGCCGACGCCGCCTCCAGCGCGGCGCTGGCCGAGCGGGGCGGCCTCGAACCAGGCGGGCCCATGTCGGGCCAGCCGCAGTGGGGCCAGTCGGATGGAGCCTCAGAGGAGGAGAGGAACGCATGGCGCAAGACCGCCGACTTGCAGGTGTTGTGGCTCGCGGCCACTCGCCGTGCCGACAAAGCTCTCGCAGCGTCGACGGAGGCTTGTCGCGCTGCATGCGACGCGTACCGCAACTACGTTGACGCGCGGGCCGTCGCCGAGGATCGCAGTGGGGGTCCAACTCCGCCTGCGCGCGCCCGCCGATCGTGGGCCCAGGGTGGGCATGACCGCGGTCGGCGCGGGCGCGCAGGCGCGCAGTTGGCGCCGCCCTGGGAGGTGCGGCGCCAGAGCCAGCAAGCGCAGCAGGGCGAGCCACGGGCGGCATAGGGTGCTCCAGCGGCTGCAGGATCTGCGCTTGAGTCAAACATGCAATGCAGCAAAGGGCCTCCTGAGTTGTGGATGGCGGATGGGGTGGTGGTCCTCGTGCAAGCTGTCGTAGGCATTGGCCCCCCCGCCCAAACTGGCTCCACGAGCGCGTCGAGCGTGGCCCGAAAGACCACCAGGGCGGCACGTTCCCTCCCATACCCCATGCGGACAAGCCGAAAACTACGTCACCTCCAACCCTCCTCCGCCCCCCCCTCCACCTCCACCTCCAACTCCGCCCCCGTCCTCCTCATTCTCCTTCTCCTTCGCCTACTCCTCCTCCTCCTCATCCTCCTCCTCCGCCTCCTCGTCATCCGCATCCTGTCATCGCAATTTACAGCATGCGCCCTGCAACGTCACCCTACCCCCCCCTTCGGACCTAGGCGGGATTCGGTGTGCACTGGCACGGCTTACCCTTCGAGGGGCCACCGGTTACCCTTGAGGCCGTGGCGGGGCAACGCCGATGGGCAACGTCTGGGGCAACCCGCGACACACAATGACCAACCACGGAACAACTAACAGGACAGCCACGGTGCACGCCATCGCTCGGGCATGCGCAGGGCGAGTGCATGCGCGGGGGGGGAGGGGGGGAGGGGGGGGGGCAAATGGCTTTACTGAGTGTCATGGAATCCCATGCGCGTCGCGTGCCCCAGCCAACCCATCCAGAGAATATGCCCAGGCGGGTTGCATGAAGCAGGAACGTGTAGCGATCTGCAGCGTATCAGCAAGCAGCGTAACTCGGAGGGCCCCAAGGAGGGCCCGAAGAGGAGTTTACGATTGCCCCATGCTGGTTTCGAGAGGTGCCAGAATATTGCTCCAGGATGCCCCACTATGGTTCCAAGAGGGCCTCACGCGTATTGCATGCGCATGCCTTGTTATTGGGCCTCTCTTGGGGCATCTTGGGGCTTTCTGGGGTCCATCTTAGAGTCTCATAAGGGCGCTCTCGGTGGCTACGAGGGTTCCAAGATGGTACACCAGGCTGCGTTCGCAAGCCCCAATAGGACCACAATAAGGTTCCAATATGGGCCCAATGGGGCCCCAAGTGGGCCACGCGACTGCCCCAAGAGGGTTCAGAAACACGATGCGTACATTACACGTGTCCGTGTGTATTGCTGACGTGGCAAATGTGGGGTTATATTGTTGCCCGTGTGGGGTCTGTTTGCCCCCCCCCCCCCCGCCTTGGAGACCACGCTGGCCATCTTGAGCCCCTCGTGGGGGCATATGTTGGATCTCTTGAGGCGGTCATGTGACCGTCTCTTGGTGCCCCCTTGGAACCGTCGTGGGCCCATCCTGGAGCACCCGAATACGATGCTTGCGTATCTTGGGCCGTCCTTGCACGCGGCCCTGCGCAATGACCTTGCGACGCCACCAGCTCTCTGAACGTTCCCAGGGTGTCTATCGGGGCACGATCAAGACTTCGAGAGGGCCCTATAGGGGGCTCCGAGAGGGACCCAAATCATGCTCCAAGAAGGCCTTAAGAGTGGCCCAGGATGGCTTATGTGGCATGATGGGAACCCTGGTAGGGCCCTCTGGGTGCCCCCTTGGGGCTCCTGGCGACAAAACGTTCGCGATATCAACGAGTCGACTTTGGCAGCGACAACCTCCGCCCTCTCGGGCCCGCTTGGAGCCCCCGTTGGGTTCTCTTAAGCCTCTCGGGGCACTCTTTGAGTCTTCTCGGGCCCGATTGGGCCCTCTTGGAGCACGCTTGGGGCCCCCTGGGGGCCTCCTGGAGCTCCTGGCGACAAGGGCGCTCGCGCTGTCAAAACGTCGGTGTTGACAGCGCGGGCCCCCGCCCTCCTGAGGCCAGCTGGGAAACCTCATGGGGCTATTGTGGGCCCCTCTTGGGGCCCTCTAGGGCCTTATATTGCCTTCGTCCAGCCCTCGTGGGACCATCTTGGGACTCCTGGCGACAAAGGGGCTCGCACTGTCAAAACGTCGGCGTTGACAGCGCGCGCTGCCGTTTTCGTGAGGCCTTTTTGGGACCCACCTGGGGCGATCTTTGGGCCTGCGAAGGCTCTCTGTCGGCCCTCTGTGAACCCTTTTAAGGCGCGGGGTGCCACCCCTCCTAACATAAAATGTGTTCCATGGGGGGCAAGACGGTGACAAGAGGGCCCCAAGAAGGCTACCTAATCATAGGGGCGTCTTGGTGCCATCTTGTAGCCCTCCTAGGGCCCCTTAGAGCCCTCGTAGGTTAGGGCTCCTCTCGGAATCTCCATTGGGCAAGATTGAGGCCCTCTCGGGGCCCACGTGAGACCCTCTTGGTGCCCTCTTAGGGGCCCTGTTGGGGCTTCTTCGGTCCCTCTTGAGTCCCTCTTGGGGCCCTGTTGAGGCTCTCTTGGGTGGGACTGGTGGGGATGCGCGAAGCGTCAATAATTGATTCCGCGTGCCTCTTAGCAGGGGGGTGAGGTATCTGGTGTACGCAAGCTCACACGTCCCATGCCGTTCTTGCTTTGGTTTGCCCTCGCTGGGAGGGCGCCGCGTTCGTCGGCGAGGACGACGTCGAGCAGCCTCCAAAGGGCGGGCCCTTGCACGGCTGCGAGGCGTGCGTCGAGCTGGTGAGCTCCAACTTCCCTGGCATGAAGTTCTACGAGGCCGTGGCGAAGAAGGATGAGGACGAGCAGTTCTCCGACGGCCTGGACGCGGTCTTCCAAGCGAGGGGCGAGACGAAGACCGATCAGTCCGTCAATCATGACATGCAGGTCACAGAGGAAGCATCGCTGCAGGCGGCCCTCCAGGAGACGCACGAGCTCCACACGACGGCGTCTTGCACCAAGAAGTATGGGAATAACCCAAAGACGATGAAGATCAGGCCCGTCAAGCTTCCGGATGCCCGTGGGAAGATGCGACAGTTCTTTCCAATCCCAGCAGCAAACTTCCGAACGTTCAAGGCGCTGTCCGTCGTGGGTGGCCGCCCGAAGACCGTCAGGATGAGCGGAGTGAAATTGTTCGAAGGCCATGGCGAAATGGCGTTGGAATCGCAACATAACGTGTACATGGCCAAGCTCCAACTTGACAAGATGAAGAAGACGGTTCCGCGAGAGGTAGCTTAGTTCCGAGCCAAGCTGGATGCGGCCTCATACCCTGTGGCAGGCCTTGTCAAAATGGAGGCTGACGACGCAGATGCGGGTCATGAAGACGATGATGATGATGAGGATGCCGCTGCATCCGAGGACGGTGGCGAGTCTTCCTCGGGAGAGGCGTGCGCTGGCGAGAGGGGCAACAGGCAGCCCGATCCTGATCGCGAGCTGGAGTCGACTGGGCCGAAGCTTTGTCGCACTTCCGCGCATGCTACGCCATCGAAGGAAGGGGGCCGCTCGAAGAGCAGGGCGCCATGCAGCAAGGGCAAGGACATGACAGCTGACCTCGAAGCCCAGGATACTACAGACCAGATGGAGGCGGCGTTCGGCAAGTTGGCTGTTCTTTTCGCCGAGCACCCTTTCGCCGACAAAGACGTTTGTCAATCGTCGGCTGCCGAGCAACACCAATCGGGCACTTCTGCTTATTGGATCGCGAGGCTGCCGTTGGACTGCACTGCGGCATCTACATCGTTCAAGTTTGCGCATGCGGTCTCCCAGTCCGAGATCCTACGGAGCAAGGTTGGCAGGGTCGAGCGCGACCAACTGGAGGCCCACCTGGGCCTTGTTCAGGAGGCCAAGCATTTCCCAGATGGCAAGCTGCAGCTGCTGAGCTGGGACCAGGCAGTGGCGAAGATCGAGCGTCTCAAGCAGGCGGGCGCCACTTGGCTAGCTGATACCAGGATCTCGATTCTCAAAGCGTTCGTGAAGCACTACGCCAACATGGCCGATCAAGGCAAGAACGTGGATACTGCAATCGGCCGCCTCGTGGTGACGTTCGCTCCATTTGTCAGCGGCCCCCCGCCCAGTTACGACGCGGCGGCGCCGGCGCTGCTATCGTCCAGGCTGCCCATGGCCGAGACGAAGGATCTGTACTTGACATCGGGCTTCATCGGATGCTTACTGCAGTGGCTGGAGAGAGGTGAATCGATGGAGAGCCACATCATTGCGCTGTGTGGCAGCGTGAAGGCGCACTGGGTGGTGTCGGAGGATACGGTCATGACCACGGAGTGTGCGCACCTCATACAGGATACTAAGAAGGTGCTGGCAGTGCTATCCGCGAGCTACATGAAGAGCCTCCAGGTCGACACGCCCGCTAGCGTCTTCGACGACGTCAAACCGCTGCAATATGATGGGCTGAAGGCATCCAGGACAGGTGCAGCATCATCTGTGTTCCAAGTCGTCGGGCAAGCAGTTGAGAGGTCAGCCCATTGGAACCGCATGGTCACCGCTTTCGCTAAGTCGGCAAAGGCTTTGAAGACCAGCGCCCCCGCACTACAGGAGCACATGCAGCTGGCCGTGGAGATGAAGGACGAACGCCCCAGCGCTGAACACCGCCAGAAGCTGAAGTCCATCGTCGAGGCGATCCCCGAGTACAATGCCACCGTTGGCGAGTCTCACGTCATCGAGCTCGATGCGAACATCGCCGTTGCTATCAGCGCGCACACCGCCACGGTGGCTTCCCTTTCCACTGGCGACGGCACGGAGACCGCGGTGAAAGATGGGTCCCAGCGCCTCCTCGTGCCGTACGTTGAGTTGGTGAAGGCGGCGATTGCCTCGTGCTCTCGCGACGAGAAGCTGCTTCGCGAGCAGAAGATGTTGCTGGACAGCCAGCGCCTCATCGCACAGATGGAGAAGGCCACCGACCTCAAGAACAAGCTGGACGAGTTCAAGATTGACGACTCTCACTACTCTAATGCAATGAAGGACTACTTCGGCACGCTGGCACCGCCTGGGAATGACGACGCGTCACGTTCCCTTGTGCACGGTCTCTTCGAGAGGGTGGTGGGGCAGCAACACCTCGTGGACTTCGACGGCAACGATGTGTTCAACCACATCCCCTTGCTGAAATCAATGTGCCAACATGTTCCGACTGGGCACGCTGCGTCATGCTCCCACGTGGCGGATCTGCTCTCGCGCGTGGGCGCACTGAACATTGCGAGGATGGCGGTTGAACGGTTGGGCGACTCTCCCTACGAGGCGGTGCTTGCCCCCGAGTGCGAGCAAACGCTGGCCGAGCTGGATCGGAACGTGCAGGTGTGCAAGGCGATCCTGGCCAAGAAGGTCAAGGGCTTCGACGCGACCTTCAAGCGGGGCAAGGAGCGGATGGAGGAGGCGACGGGCTACCTCAAGGAGGTTGCGGCCGCGTTGGTGACGAGGGGGGCCACCGCCGCGAAGGCGAGTACGGAGGGCGCCTGGAATAAGCTCAAGGAGAGCAACATCTACGGCAGCTTCGAGCAGGACGTGGCCAAGGCCAACTGGAAGGATATCTGCACGGTCTGGGAGACGGGCTTCAAGGACTTGGACCACGACGAGGCGCTGGGCTGGTTGGACCAGCTCTCGCAGGATGGAATTCGTTAACCTGCCCACTTCCCTCACCACCGCCCGCATGCATCGCCTATTCTGGACGCTTCGCGCACCCCCACTAGTCCATCCAGATGCGATGCTTGGGCGAGGTGTCTTGGCCAGGAAAGTGTAGCAGCATGCAGTGTAGCAGCATGCAGCGCAACGGGGAGGACCCAAGAGGGCCCCGAGAGGGGCTCAAGATGGCCCCATGTGGGCTCCAACAGGGGCCCTAGAGGGCCCCAAGAGGGGTACGCCAGGGGTCCCAGAGTTGGCCCAAGAGGCGGAGGGCTAAACACAACACATTGTTGTGGCTGTGTCGTTCGTGGGTTACATTAGGGGCTTCTGCGGAGACATCGGGGCCGACCCAGGATGGCCACGCGAAGACCCCGAGAGGGGTTCAATATGACCCAGGGGGCCCCATCAGGAGCCCAAGAGAGCTCCAAGAGGGGCCCAGAAAGGATCACAGAGGGGGCACCAATGACAGAATACCAACCAATACAATATTGATTGGTTGTACCGCTCGTAGGTTCCATTGTGGGCTTCTGGGGAGGCCCTCTCCCCACCCCCAGGAGGGCCCCACGAGAACTATCGCCCAATATGGCTCCAAGAGGGGCTCCAACGGGCCCCAAGATGCCACCAGAAGGCTCCACGAAAGCACCGCGAGGCGGAGGGCGGACAGCGTATTATTGTGCAAGGTGTGCCAAGGATCTGCATCGTCTTGCAAGACTTTGTATGGTGTTTGCAGGGTTGTTGCAAGATCGTTGCAGGGTCGTTGCAGGGCGCGTACAGGGTCGTTGCAGGGCGGGCGCTGCAAGGGTATTGCAGGGTGTTGCAGTGTCGTGTTGCAGGGCATTGCAGGATCTTGCAGGGTCTTTTGCAGTGCCTTTGCGGGGAGGCTTAGACAGAGTATAGCAGGGTCGTCGAAAGACGCCCAGGGGAGAGGGAAGGGAGACTGGCTCTTCTAGGAAGGGGTGCGACCTAACTCCCTAGACCACCTACGCCCAGAAGGCGGGTGAGATGTACTCCGCGCACCCTCCCCCCTCCGCAACGTTCGCTGCGGGGAGGGGTTGTGCGAGGAATGGGGGGATCAGGGGGATGTGGAACGGTGGTGGGGACTAGGTCGATGACAAGGGCGCTGGGGCCGTGTTCGGACACTCCTGGGCCGACCAGAACTATCGGAACCGCATTCGCCCCGCTGGCAATCTCCCCCCTCGCCCGTCCACCCCCTCGTTCTCTCTGCCATCGCCTAAGCCAGTCACATCATTTGTCCAATCGCATCCCCCTCGACGTACCCCCCACTCCCCGCACCTCACTCCCCCCTATCATCGTTAACGGGCCCTTCTCCCGCACGACAGCACCCCCCTATCACGTGCATACTATACCCATCCTGTCGTGACAACCGCAAGCATTACCATTTCATCGCGTGCACCAGCTGCGAGCAACGCACACGATAACGGCCGCTAGGAACAACTACCAGCGATTGAACGGTCGCATATGCAAATCAGAAGCTGCACGCTCCACGACGAGCATGACATGGGCGCTAGACGTCATGGGGAGCCAACGCAGCTGTTTGCAACGGTTGTGGTCAGGCCTCCTGACCACAAACCGTTGCAAACAGCTACGCAATTGCCCCGCACCACAGCCCCGTCCCCCCACGATGGCCCAGCGAGGCCACACGTCACCCTTCCCATCTGACGTGGGGGTGTGGTTGATGTTCGACAGGACCTGACCAAGTACACGGACCTCTGCGATGTGTTCAAGATTGCGCCGCAGCAGGACATCACACAGGAGTTCAGCACGCTGACGACTACAATCGCTTCGGCCGTGGCTGCAGCGATGATAATTGAGGCGTGTGTCAGCTCGGATGCAAAGGATGGCGTGAGGCTGCGGCAGAGGATGACGCCTGCCAAGAACGTGATGCGGGATCACAAGGTGCTCCCTAAGCACTTGCCGGCGGGCATCAAGAAGGCCTACGACCAGGCAATGGAGATGACGTTCGCCTCATAGGCCCGCAGCCCGCGTGAGGCTACCCGCGCCCTGAGAGGGGCGACACAGCCGACGATGAAGAGTGGGAGAGGGCTGAGAGGAGGAGGATGATGTCAGGTCGGGGTGGGGCGGAGGTTGGGGACTACGGCGGCGAGGATCAGAAGGCACATATAGGGTGATGACGTTCAGACTCGAACAGCAGCTGCAACAACTAGATCGCTCAGCGCTGTATCGGCGCTGTGAATTCTGTGGCCGTCGAGGGCCGCGTTGTGAAATCTACTCGGCGCGAGCGCCGTGCTTGGTGTGTGACCCTCATGTCTTGCTGCCGCGTCGGGCATTCACTTGCAAAGCCACGTTCATCGTATACGCTTCGCATTTTTGCCGCCACCCCATCCAGAACGTGTCCAGGCGAGTTGTCGTGACCAGAGAAGCGAAACAACCCGTTGATTAAATGACGGGGATGGGGAGCCTGTATATGCCTTCGCGGCTCTACGGAATAGGGGTGGGGATGTAGTGATATGGAGTGGGGCGGTGGTCAATGCGATGGTGATGACGAGGGGGAGGATGACGTTGGACGAGGTGGGGGTAGGATGCCGAGGAGGGTGATGGAGTGATCTGGCGGCGGCGACGACGTCCGCAACGATGGCGATGATCGCGACGACGACGGGGGTCACCCTTGAAGGCCGTTGCGGGTCTTCGCTCTTGGAGCCCCTGGGGCCACACTGTACCCCGTTGGTTGTTCTGCTCAGTTGCCTCGAATGCCTTCTCGGGGTTCCCTCAGCGCCTTCTCAGGGGCCATTGCGGGGGGGGGGGCACTGGGGCCATCAAGGACGGCATCGGCCATGGGGAGGGGGTGAGCGACCAACGTTGCTCATCTGGGGCCCCAAGAGCCGCCTCTAGTAGCACTCGTGGGGCGCTATTGTGCGCTATTTGGTGTATTTGGGGCCGTCTTGGCGCGTTGCTGGGCTGTCTCGGGGCTCTCTCGTGGCATAGTAGGACAGTCTTGCATCGCCTGAAGCGTTCTGATGCGACATTGCGATCATGTGCATTTCGCTGTGTCGTCTTGCATTGGAAGTATGGTCAAGTTGTTTTTTTGTTTGTTGCTTCCCCCCCCGAGGGGTTCTGAGATGCTCTATGGCCATTCGAGGCCGTCTCGGAGCGGCCGCGTGGCTTATCGCGGGCGCGTCGGGGGCCATGCGGGGCAGCATCTGGGTATCTATAGCAATGTTTGGGGCGATACTGGGCGGGGCCTCCTTGGACCCCCCCGAAACATCTTGGGCTCTCTAACCCCTAGGGTTGCGCCCCGTCAAGTCCAAGTGGTCTGGGGCATTGGGGGGGGGGGGGGGACCGCTTCGCCGAATATAAACAACGGTTGGAGGAGGAAGCGCCGAACCGCTTTCTCACAGAGGACTGGTTGGATTCCTCAGGGCCGTCGCCTTCCCCCCGCCCGCGCCCCGAGGCGCCGTGGCGACAAATTTCTCAGAGCCCAGCTCCGCTCGAACGCGGGACAGCCCCGCGTGTAAACATGAAAAACGGGAGGGGGAGAGCGGGCGGGCGGCGGGTCGCCGGGCGGGTTTGGGCGGGGCGGGAGGTTTTGCAAAAGAGCGACAGAAGGTGAGGGCGGAGGGCCGAGTCGGCGGTGCTGGCTTTGCCCTTTCCCACGCTCGCCTATCATTTCCATCTCGGCGCGTGACTGCCCCGCCCCTTGATCGCATCCCTCGTTGCTCATCTCCCCTGCGCAGCGTGCCTACTCGCGCGTCCCCTCTACCTTCTCCCCGTCTTTCCCTCAGTCTAGATCCCTCTCTCTCCCTGTATCCTTCTCTACTCCCCTCTCTCCCGCTCCCTCCGCGCCCCCCTCTTTCCCCGCGCGCCCTCCGTTCCTTTACGTCCCCCCTTTGGATATCCCCGATGCCCGCTCCCCTTCCTTTGGCCCCCCCTCCGCCCTCTAGCTCTAGAGGCATCTCCCCTCCGTGGGCCCCTTTCCGCCCTTCCCTTCTCCAACGCACATGTTACTTCAAGTGGAGCCCACGTTTTTTGAGGTGGGGGATTTTCGATCGTCCGCGGATGGTTTTTGGAGGGTTTTTGGGAGGGTTTGCTGGGGAACGCGTTTGAGGGTTTTCGGAGGGTTTTGGTGTTTGCGGCCGCAATCTAGAGTCTAGCGGAGCATGGATTACATAAGCGTCCTGCTACACAAGCATGTGGCGGACTCACAGCACGACGCTTGCCCAAGGGGACCTCCAAGAGGACCCCGAGAAGCAAACATATGTTCTCTCGTTCAGGCAATCTTTCTTTGTTGGCCAGATTCGTTCACGATGTCTACGACAACCCAAGAGACCCCCAAAACGGCCCGAGAGGTCCACAAGGCAGCCCCAAGTCAGCTTATGAGGGCTGTAAGACGGCTCAAGAAGTTCGCGAGACAGCCCAAGAGAGACCCAAGAGCGGCCCGGGGAGGGGGGAACCGAGCTCGAATTTCGAGCTTCCCGCCCCCCACAGGAGCCCCGAGGCCGCCGACAGGTTCCGAAGAAACTCCCATGGCCAATGGAGGGCCCAAAGAGGCCCCACATATCAAGTCGGGCGTGTCTCTCGACAGGGGGAATATTCAAAACTAGTCAAAACATAGTCAGGGGACGATGTTTTGACACTTCTGTGTGTCTGTGTGGCTATTTGGGGGCATGTGCTGATTTTTTGAATTTGCCCAAAATCCCCCTGTAGGGGGACATGCCCGACCCAAGGCTTCAGA